ACTATGTAGAACAGGTGGGCCTTACACTTGCCCTCCTCCTGCCAGTGTCTTGGGTAGCTGTGACTACAGGTGCGCATAACCATGCCCAGCTATTCTTTGCCTTTCCTGTGTTTGCTTCTCCCTGTCTGTTAAGAGTCGATATTAATTACCACTACCCACTTCCTTCGATTGAGAGAAGCCCAGAGAACAATTCCCGGCATACAAAATAAGCACTCAGTGAATGTAGCTAGCTATTATCTCAGTAGTCCAACTGGGTTTGTATAGATTGCCACATTTCCTGACTGTCATACTTTTCTGATGAGTCGAGATAGTATCGGGTGTGTTGGGGCACAGATAGACAGCAGTATTTTTTTTATTACATACATACCAAATTAGTGTTGTGAGGATGGGTCGCTTTTGAGTTGCTAGGTACTGTGAACTACCTTAGTAGTCTAATGAGAGCTAACTCCTCTTCTCTCCCCTCCCCTCTCCTCCTTTCCCCTTCATTCCCTGTCTGTCTCTTTCTTTCTCAACAGGGTCTCTTGTACCCCTTGCTGGCCTCAAACTTGCTTTGTAATTGAGGATGACCTTGAACTTTTTATCTTCATGCTTATACTACCTCTGGAGTGCTGGGATTACAGGCTTGGGATATGAGTGTTTTGTTTTGTTTTCTCTTGAGACAGGGTTTATGTAACTCAGATGCTTGCTGGCATCATACATACTTGCTTTGTAGCCACAGATGACCTTGAACTGTGTGTGTGTGTGTGTGTGTGTGTGTGTGTGTGTGTGTGTGTGTGCTTTTAGAGGCCAGAGGTCAACTTTAGATGTCTTTCTCAGTCACTTTCTACCTTATTTTGGGGGTGTCTGCTGTTGAACACACTTTATTCATTCTCCCAGCATGGCTGGCCAGCACAGCTCAGGACCTTGCTGCCTGCTTCCTTAGTCCTGAGGTTGCAGACATATATTGCATGCCTGGCTTTTGTGAGGGTGCTGGGGATGGAGCTCAGGTGCGCATGCTTACTCAGCAAGCACTGTACTGACTGAGCCATGGAGACAGCCCACGACCCTGACTTTGTGATCCTCCTGCCACTCACCTTTCAGGTGCTAGGATTGCAGATGCCACCACACCTAGCATTGCCTCTTTAAATTCTAATACACTTCATTCTGAATTATTATAGAGAGAAAACTACCTCTTTTATTTGCTCAGTGCTTAATCTCCGTTTGTGAGATCAAGAAGCAACACCTGTTAATACTCTGGTGTCCTCTCTTGGACACCACATTTTGAAAAATCACAGCTATGCCATCAGTTGTCTGGAGATGGAAAAGAAGGGGAATGCACAGTGAAGGTTGGATGTGATACTGTGTCCTGCGGTTTTGTTTCTTGTGAAGATAATGTGAATTGGCAGAGGATTGCTTAAATAGGTTTATTAGATGTGAGTACCTGGCATGAGCTGGGCCAGGTTTTACTTTTTTCTTCTGTAACCCATTTCTTAGTTGTGGCTTTTGAGTTGGCTTTTCATTATGTACTGTGAGCACGGCTTCTCCTTATGCAGTGTGAGGTTAAAGAGACACAAAAATGCACCAGCACTTAACTTGAAGCTATCCTGCCTTTAATTCTCCTTATTCCACATCACTTACAGAAACTCCCGTTCCCCAGGTGTCTAGTCTTAGAGTGGAGCTGGTCCTGTTGCTATGTCCTGAAAGGTTTTGGAGAGTTGTGGGTAATCAGAGATTCTTATCACAGGCAGCAGGCACATGAAATACTATCTAAGTGAGAGCTGTTCATTGATAGAAACTTGCTGTTCTGTAGGACCATTTCAGATTTGTGACTGGAAACAGTGCAACAGCAGCGTAACCAAGCGAGAGGCTGGAGCTGTGTTCAGGGGTAGAGTGCGTATCTAGCAGTTGTGAGGTCCTGGTTTCAACCCTACCACCAGATCTTGTAGGGCTCCATCGTAGCGCCATGCTCTCTGGCCCTGCCTCCCACCTCCTGAAGTTTGCTGTGCCATGTGACCCAGCCGCGGAAAGGCTCCAGGCAGTGCACTGACCTGCAGCTGGGCTGTGGGGTTAGTCATTGACCGCAGGTGATTTCCTGAAACAGAGCCTTAGGTGACTCTGCTTCTGTGATGTGTGGGTGACCTCTGTGAGGAAAACAGACGGGTCCACCATGACTAGGGCTACAGTGAGAATTTTAACAGGTGTTTTAGTATACCAGGCGAGGGTATCCAGCATGATAATGTGTTACAGTGTGAGTATCCATGGAAGTGGATGATTCTGTTTCAGGAGAAAGATGATTTAATATGAACAGAGCAGAGGAGGGATCAGAGGATCTTAATAGACCTTTTCTTCCCTTTGTCTACCCTTCGCGTGCTCGCAGGTCTCAGAAAAATGGTTGTGGTGATACATTTGAAAACTTAATTAAATTTAAGGCAACTTGGGGTACAAAAGAGGCTTCAAAGGTAAGTATGATAGTGTGGTTTTGTATTTTATTTTGTATTTATCAGATTTTGAACTATAGAATTAAAGCTTAAGGAACATAGTAATAGGAAATGTCACTTTCAAATTTTTGCAAGTTTCAATGTCCTTTACTGTAAGGTAGGATGTGAGACTCATTGACTGGAGTGACCACAAGATCTCGAAGCCTCTGTTGGAACTTTATAGCCGGGGGAAGGTGTACAGTATGACGTTCAAGTCCCCATCCCCTGGAACTGGACATCACATGCTCACAGAGGCATAGTGCTTGCTGCAGGAAGATTTGTGTCACAGCGTCAATGCAAATAGGGAGTGCTTATTTACTGGACAGCGACCAGATGTACAATATCTCAGTGGTTCAAAAAAGACCCAGTTTTTATCTGCTAAGAATTTATAGTCTATTAAACACCCTAAAGCACACATATTATAGAAAAGTAAGCATGCAGTGGGTATTAAAAGTGTGCCTAGTTGTTTAGAAGAACTGGAGAACAAGGCTTGGGTCATCAGGAAGATTCCCCTGGGGAAGGTAGTCTCTGTTTAAGGAAGTGATTCTTGGGTGCACCATTTGTTTGCTTTCTGTTTACGAGAATCCCATCTAGATGCAGTCAGATCCCTATTCATCCTTGCCTTTTTTGTCTGTTATTTCTGTTTAAGTTGTTATATATATTACTTAAGTAAGGGGTAAAATATGTGTGTTTATGACATCTGGAATTACTTTGAAAACTGGTATCAGTTTTGTGGCTAAACTACTAAGTATGTGTATTATACATTTTGAAAAAGAATTTCATGACAGCTGGTGGTATAGCTCAGTGGTGGGACACTTGCCCAGCATGTATAAAGCCCTTGGGTTCTGTCTTAGCACCCTTCCCCTTAAAAAAAAAAAAGAGTTTTATGATCGTTCCTTAGGTCCTAGTTAAATATCTGTTATAGATTGAAGTTTTAAGCCAAAATATCATATATTATTATTATTATTATTATTATTATTTTAAAGACAGAATCTCATGTACCTCAGGCTGGGTCAGACTGTCTCTTCCTGCCCGGTGGTGAGAGTTGCTGTGGCTTACCAGTCTATGAGGTGCTGGGGATTGAATGTCAAGCCTCAGGCATGCTAGACTAATGTTCTACCAAATCAACCCCCAAATTCATTTTATATATATATATATACACACAAAAAAAAGTGTATTATATATATACAAAAAGTGAGGTGCATTCCACTAGTACTTCTGCTGTGTAGAATTCAGGATCTGTGCCATTTTTAAACCATTGTCCTATGAGTCCTGAGTCTGCCCTTTCATTTCTCCAGTCAGTTTAGTCTGAACACCAGATGATTGAGAGATACTGGTTTGGCCCTTAGTAGGCCATTTGTGCCCCAAGATGCTGTCCCTTAAACTGGAACTATTTTTAACAATATTTGGATAGTCTCTGTTTTTAACAATATTTGGATAGTCTCTGTTTTTTTTTTTTTTTTTTTTTTTTTTTAAAAAAAAAAAAAGAAAGAAAGAAAGTTATTTAGATAGCTCAAAGGGAAAAAGAACCCATGACCAAATTGTGGCCTGTAGTCAAACTTTAAGCCCTTTCCTGGAAAAAGGAATTCATTCTCTCTTCATCTGGGCCTATCTCGATACCATCAGTTTAACGATTGCCACAGAGAGGACCAATTTTTGTCATAGGTGTTGCAATCTTGATTACTTGGGAATCTTTTTATTATTGTTATTCATCCATTTTAGGGAGTTTCCTGTCTTACGTGTAGTATATAAAGTGGCTTAAGGCAGCCGAGGTCTGTACCTGGTGTCGTTAGTTTTTCTTACGTTAGTGGGGTGAAATGTTACCACCTGTATCAGATGAAGACTGCAGAGCCAGCCAAGGGCTCACCAGACCTCAGGGATGGACCCAGAACTATTTTCTTCAGCCTAATTGCAGGAAAAAGGACTTGATGCCACCCTGTTTTTTGTCTTTAGACTTGACCTGTGTTTTGAAAACCTATAGTTTCTATTCTAAAAAGAAAACATTTTCTCCATGGACCCCAGGCTCAAATTTATCTCATAGCATTCTCACATCCAGGTGAACTTTGTTGACATCAGAAGCCAGAGTTGTTCTAGGGAGCTGGTGATGAAGGCTTCTCAGCCTGACTCCCAGGGATTCGTTGCAAGAGTCAGGAGGCTCTCAATTATCCGTGGTCTCTTAGCTTCCCTCCCCACCCCCACACACTTGTGATGGCAAGAATGTGCCCCTACTGGGTTTCCCTTCCGCAGATTAAGATCTACATTTGACTACTGTGAGTAGCCATCCTGCACTGGCTATGGACAGAGTTTCGCAAGGGTTGTGGAGTAGCGCCTGTCAGCTGACACTTCCTCACATGAGAACCGTTAAGAGCGTGGCTGGCGTGGCCAGTGTCAGAGCAACCTCGCCGCTGAAGGTTTACCCAGAGCCACGTGAGCCGGGCTCGTGACTAGTGAAGGGACGGCTGCATAACCCCAGCCCGGGATGCAGCCTCGTGAGTCAGTTTCAGCTGCTGGACCTGTTGCTGCACTGGAGTACAGGCCTGGAGAGATCTGTACCCGCCTGCCCTGTTGTGGGTGGACCGGGAGCACATCACTCCCAGGATTCATCCTGGGCTTCATTTACATGCCGAATGAATGTCCCTTTCCTTTAAGCTCCTAAAAGAGGAAGTTAGTAGCTTGTCTCACGTGCTGTGCAGGGAGTGAAATGATCTTTACACTGGAACTGCTGCTGCTGGTCACTGTGGAGTACTCTGCAGAGAAGGAAGGAAGTTCCAGAGTGATCTAGTCCACACTGATGGTCAGTATCAACTGAGGACCATCTGTGCCCCTCAGGAGATGTGTGGTGGTACAGCAAAAACTACAAGCTGGCCAGTAGGCCCACAGGAGTCAGCCAGATGTGGAACTGATGCCATTTCTGGCGCTGGAAGGATTTTCAAGACACTTGTACAAGCAAAGATTCCAAAATGTGCCAGAGAAGGAAGGGGCACGAATTCCGCAGTGCTCAACCACAGGTTTGAACTTTTAGTTCTGTTTCAGTCTGGGGAGTACTAGCCTCATGGGACTCTGGGAAGTTTTATTGATTTGAGTTGTGCTTTCAGGAATGCTTTACATAGGAGAAGTGCGGCTATTGATAGCATGTAGAAACACGTCCTTTCCTTTGTAGAAAAGATGTAGGCACATGTATCCTAAGTGGCTCTTAAGAGTCTGTTACCATTTTACCCTTTTATGTTTTCATTACTTCTGCTAGAGCCAACTTGTAAGAAATGGCAGTGTCCTTGTCTGGAACCCTGGGCAGAGCTGTTTGCGTTTATAGTTAAAGATCTGAGTACCAGAAGATGGGGCAAGGACGTGAGTTCTGCTTTGTGGGGGCCAGGTATGTGCGTGCTGAGGCAGGCTTCTGAGGAGAACCTGGCTTTTCTCTGAGAAACGCCTTTCACAAGAAGAATGTGTTATGACCAGCTAACTTGAGTAGTGAGTTTATCCATAAGGAGCGCAGTCAGACCTGCTCTCTTTATATCCTTTCTGGTTACTTCATCTGTTTCTCTCTTACTTATTTTCATGTATGAGTGTTTTGCCTGCATGTGTGTGTGTGTGCGCACCCCTTATATGCCTGTTGCCTGTGGAGGCCAGAAGACAATGTCAGATCCTCTGGAACCAATTACAGATGGTCATGAGCCACTATGTGGGTTCTAGGAATTGAACCCAGGTCCTCCGGAAGATCCATCTCTCCAGCCCTTTATCTACTTTGGAAGGATTAATTTTTCTAGTAGTAAAACTTAATTGAAACTTTTTGTAAGATTTTTACTGTGTATCAAAAAAAAAAAAAAAAAAAAAAAAAAAGCCCAAACTCTTTGAAAATTGCTTTTCATTCCAAAATCTTTTTTTTTTTTAAATCATTTTATTAAACAAACTGGTCCATGTGAGGGTGTCAGATCCCCTAGAACTGGAGTTACAGCCAATTGTGAGTTGCCATGGGGGTACTGGGAACCGAACCAGGGTCTTCTGGAAGAGCAGCCAGTGCTGTTAACCTCTGAGCCATGTCTCCAGCCCCATCATTCCAAAATCTTGTGTTGAAAGCCAAAGATAAAAGTTCTAATTCTTATGATTAATGTAAAAAAAAGTTTCTAAATTGACTTAATTTTAATTGAAGATTTCTTGGGCTGGGTTGCTGGCTAGGTGGTTAATAGCACCTGCTGCTCTTGCAGAGGACCTGGTTGGGTTCTGAGCACCCACACTGTGGCTCAGGACTGTCTTTTAACTTGAGTTTCAGAGGACCCAGCACCTTCTCCTGCATTGTTGTAGGAACATGGTGTACATACACACACCATGGCTCACATATATCCAGGTAAAATAAAACTAAATCTTTACAAAAAAATAAAATTTCTCAAAATCATCAAGTTTCACAAACTGTTTATCCCATGAGTATATTTATTGATGTAGTTAAAAGAAATCAAGATGCATGTTTGAGGCAGGTCTCGCTGTGTGGCCCAGGCCAGGCTTACCAGCGTGTACTACCACCCTCAGCTAGAATATAGTTTCTGTCATGCAAAAATCTTTGTCTTAATAAAATGGCAAGTAGCCGACTTCAGGATAAAAGCCCGATACATTGGAGAGTTGGAACCCATTTCCCAGGTGTTGGTTCACATGCGATTTGTTCAGCCTTAAGGTCCAGTTTGTGGGTAATGAATGCTGCAGAACATTAGAGAACTGTAAGGATGTCACTTTTGTACGTGTGTTCTCTGTCTCCTAGCAAGCAGGAAGAGTTGAATGGTAGAGGGTAGTGAAGCTAAGCCTCTGGGAGCTGGAACTACAGGCTTGACCTTGGCTTTCTGACTCCCAGTCTTACTGCCAAGCTATAGGGTAGGCTTTGATCACCTCCCCCTCATGGGCGTGCAGCCTTACAGGCCACAGAGGACGACAATGCAGCCAGTCCTGATAAGACCTGATGGACTAGGATCAGATGGAAGGGGAGGTCCTCCTCCTCTTATCAGTGACTGGGGGAGGGGCATGGGTGGAGAAGAGGGAGGGAGGATGGGGTTGGAGGGGAAGAGGGAGGAACTACAGATGGGATACAAACGGAATAAACTGTAATTAATAAAAATAAAATATTTTACAAAAACTCACAAAAAAAAGTCTTCCCTGGAGGTTCTAAGCTGTAGCATTAGGATATACTGTCTTCTGTTTTTGTTGTTCTCAAATTCCAGATCTCCAGATTGTTATTTGGGGTGGTCATCCCCATAAAATAATAACTTTGATTATGCCAATTTATTTAAAACTTTGTAAAAAAAAAAAAAAAAAACTTTGTGCAAGCCAGTGCTTTTCAAACTTTGAATAAACTTGCTATTTTGGTATGATTTCAATAGTTTTCACCTAGATGCTACTTTAAATGTAATAGGACACTTTGCAACTGATCCCCCCACCCCTTTAGTTTAGATTGTTGTTTTTATTGCTGAGGCTTGCAGGTTTATTTTCTGTATTTGAGTTTTGTGCAGTGGTGACTTTCTGTTAAAAACGTAAGTGCATTTAGAATTATCCAGCTGGACTCGTTTGATCCACCTCTATTGCCAACATCCAACATCATAATCAGGAGCCAGTTGAACATATGTCTTCTCTTTATCCACTGGTCTGACTTTGGTGTCATCAGTGTTGAGCTGCTTTAGTTGTTTCATTTGGCACTTGCTGACCCTGACATGCACAGTGAGCACACATGTGTTGTCTTCTGTCTCCATGGCTGACTCAGCGGCCAAGTTTGTTTCTTTCAGGGGCAGCTTGGGCTGGCTCCAGAGGTGTCTAGGAAGATGTGTGGGAAGATGTGTGTTTGAAGTTCATTGGAATTCATTTCAGGTCAGACCGGTTGTCTCCTCCACCCTCTTCCCCTTCCTACAGTCTTAGAAATGCATGTGAGGGCTGGTGAGATGGCCCCGCAGATGAAGGTGCTTGTGTGAATCCGGGCAACCTGAGCTCAGTCTGTAGCACTCGCAGCGGGAGGAGAGAACTGACACCCATAAACTGTCCTCTGACCACCAAGAGGAGGTCCTGTGCACGTGTGTGATACTTGAGAGCCACACCGACAGAAATAAATAGAAGGAAACATACATATGTTTAGCCATATATTTGTCACTTTTAGTATTGTGCTGGTTTCCAGAATTCATTTTAGGTCCCTGGCTAACCCCAAGGCTAGTTGTAAATTATTGACAGTAGCTTGCACAGTTGGGATCTGGCCCCAAACTGCTTACTGCTTTCTGTTTGCTCAAGTCATGTGGTAGTCAGAGAAATGTCCAACTCACTTTTTGCTTTTACGTTTCAGGTCTTAGTAGAGCATGTTGATAAAGCTGAGCCTTTTTATTTACTTACTTTTGCCCCCTCCTGATTTTCCAACTGTATGCAAAAAAGGAAAAAATCCAGTAAGTACAATAGTCAAGTAGCGTTGGCCCAGTGACTGCCAGTACAGATGACAGCGAAAAGCAGAAAGGCGCTTTTGCTGTCTCACAGGTAGAACTTGTCATCTGTATCTGCACTTCCATGTTCCTTTGTTTCTACAATGACAGAATCCGTAGCAACGAAATCTGTGTCTTAAATGGTTTGCCAATAAAGGTAGGCTTAAAACTTAAAACTCAGTTGGAATCTGGTAATTTTGCAGCATGCTGGCTATGTGGCATCGTTTTCAAATAGTTGTTTCTAACCTCTTTCTTAAAATGTAGATTGTAGCAAAGCTGCTGCTGATTTTTTTGTTGTTCATATTTTCCTGAAAAAAAAAAAAAAATGAAGGCCATAGAATTGTTCCTGAGGAATCTTGGGAATGTTTGCCAGCTGTATATAAGAAACATACTCTGTCTCAAATGTCAGAAGAGAGCTGGCCTGGCCTTGCCTTGTCACTGGAGGGAAGCGGAACTGAAAGAAACACTTCAGAGCCAATTGCCCTTTGCAGCTTCAGATCTGCAAGTTGGAGTTCAGGAGAAAACGACCTTATAGGGTGGGGGCTGGGAGGAGCTCAGGTAGATCAGTGCAGTGCCTGGGCTGCGCCCTGGGTCCATCCCAGCACCAAAACCAACCCACACTAGGACCAGCAGCATGGTGGGGGAGGTGTCAATGGGCGAAGACCTTTACAAAGGAAGCCCTTAGATTGTTTGAAGCAGCCTGACAGGCTTCCTTTAGTGCACTGTGGTGGAGAGGGTTACTGAGTAGGGGATGCAAAACCAGCTGCAGATTTAAAGACAGAGGCTCTAAGGTGGCAAAGGCAGCATTCTGCAGACTTTTGTAAAAGGCCATTAAAAGAAAGCGTTAAGTGTAAGCTCTAGGCGTGGGAAGTAGTTGTCACTGCGTTCTGAATACGGAAACTGTGAAAACCACTCTATTTAATAGGAAATGTGTTTTTTGGACAGGTTGAGCCGAGTGGGTAGAGGAAACAAAACAAAACACAAGCAAACAAATGAAAACCCCATCCCAAGAGCAGCCAGCTGGTCGTCTTGTGTTTATGACAAGTTTTACAAGCCTGCTGGGTGTGACTCTCTCAGTGCTGAACAGGTCACAAGCTCTGCGTTCCTTCCCTTTTCACTGTTTTATGTGCAATAAGGAATTTGTTTTCATCAATTGATAGAGTGAATTCCCACTGGTTGATGATTCTGTTTTGGGCAAGTATGCTATGGTAATTCAATATTGCAACAGTTTCAGGAAGCTTTCATCGCTTCCAGGACTCACCTGTCACTAGGAGAGTCAGAGCAGTGTACACAGGGGATCTTCACAGAGGCAGACAACTGGTGTGAGCTTTGTCTGGGACTCATTTTGATAAGCATTGATGATAGCTGGGCAGACCGCTTGTTAGTCACTGTATGTAACCCATCCCAGGGTGGCAGTGTCTCGTTGTCACTCAGTCTGCAGGCCAGCCAGTGGGCAGCTGCCGAAGCATTTCTGCCCAGTTTCCTGTGCTGAGCTTGGGTGCCTGTGGACTGCTTCCCAGCTCTGTTCGCATTCCTGTTGTCAGTTAGGCTCTGGGTTAGCCTGGCCTTCTGTT